CACGCCGGGCTCTGGGGGTGTCCGGGCGGCCTGGAGGCCGCTGCGCGGCGGGCTGAGCTCCCTGGAGCGGCCGCCGGCGCAGCTCGCAGTGGGAACATTCGCCCCGGGCGCCGCGGGCCCCGTGGGTGAAGGCCGCTGCGGGTCTCTCCGCTCGCCCTTGTGGCCCCGGGTGGAGGGCGCGTCGGTGGTCGCTCTGGAGGCCCCGGCCTCCGCCAGCACCTCAAATGGCTCCCCGCCCCAACCCGCTCCCCACGCTCCCGCCATACGCGCGGGTCCAACGCGCTGGCACGGTCCAGCTTCCCGTTTGAGGGCAACGCCATGCGGGCCTGGCAGCGCCTATGCTGCCTGTGTCCAGTGCCAGCCGTTTCGGCCGCACTGGGCATCTCGCGTGTTTCGTAGCGGCTCCCTCTAGCCACTTTCACAAAGCGAGGGCATTCATCGTCCCTCATTTTGAACGCTCTTTTTCCCGCTCGGTAACCTGGTGCCCAGCGCGTCTTAGAGCTCTTTTCTAGCACCACTCCAGAGTTAGGGTGGTTTGCTATCAGCAGGTGTGCGCCCACCGCACCAATTTTGGTACACCCCTCGCACGTTTCGGAGCTCCACAGGGAGCCCTACCGAAGGCCCAAATGCCAGCGTTCGCGTGTGCCCACCGCACCCATTTTGGCACACCCTTCACATGTTTCGGGGCTCCATTGGGAGTCCCACCGAACGCCCAAATGCCAGCGTTCGCATGCGCCCACCGCACCCAGTTTGGCACGCCCCACACACGTTTCGTGTCCCCACAGGGAGCCCCACCGAAGGCCCAAATGCCCGCCGCGATCGCATGCGCCCACTGCACCCATTTTGGTACACCCCTCACACGTTTCGTGGCTCCACAGGGAGCCCCACCGAAGGCCCAAATGCCAGCGTTCGCATGCGCCCGCCGCACCCATTTTGGTACACCCTCACACCGCTCGTGGCCCTACAAGGAGCCCTACTGAAGGCCCAAATGCAAGCGTTCGCATGCGCCCACCGCGCCCATTGTGGCACACCCCTTGCGTGTTTCGGGGCCACATAGGGAGCCCCACCGAACGCCCAAATGCCAGCGTTCGCATGCGCCCACCGCACCCATTTTGGCACACCCCTCACACGTTTCGGGGCCCCACAGGGAGCCCCACCGAATGCGGTGCATACAACGGCTGTGCCCACAACTGCATCTGGTTGAATGCGGTGCATACAACGGCTGTGCCCACAACTGCATCTGGTTGGGTTCTTCGCCAAGCCAATATTTTAGGGGGGGGCGCGAGAGAACAACGGGCGGCGCCTGCCCTGTGCGCGGGGAGTGAACGGCACAAGCCACCTGGCCGCCAAGCGTCTACTGAGAGCCTGCCTCTCGAAGCCGGGCGCGCGCGGCAGAAGGATAGCATGGCAGGAAGGAGCGGAGAGAACGGGGAGCGGCGGAGGAGAAAGGAAAGGGCGGGCAGCTGGGACGTGCGTGTGTACGCGTGGGAAGGAGGGGGGGAAGTGGCTCTAAGGACTGTCCAACCGCCCGCGGCCCCACCGCCTTCGTGCCCCGTCCGCTCAATACCAGCCCTGTTGTAGCTCGACCGCAACTTGGGCCCGAGGCGCCGCAGATCAATAAGTGGGGAGGAGGGGGATGGTGAGGATTGGGCGAACACGGGTGCGATGATGGATGGGGGTGCTGGTGCAGGTGTGGAGGGAGGAGAGAAGAGGGGCACTCATGGCGCAGGAAGGCGGGGGGGCAAGGCGGAGGGCGGCAACGCGATGAGGGCGACGGAAACTGGGGGAATGATCAGGGAGGAAAGAAGGCGACGGGTGTCGAGAATGACATGGGAATTAGGAGGATGGGGGCCAAGAGGAGGCGGGAAGCTGATGACGAGGATGACGGCATCTAAGGGTACAGGATGGAAGCGAATAGGGAGGATCGAGGAGGAAACAAAATGACATAAAGAACAACTGTGGAGGCACACGGAAGGAATCAATGATTGATTATTGTAGGGTGCATGGAGTGGGCAGGAGGTAGGACGACAGCTCAATTCAAACGATGCGGGATGAGGAGTGATGAGAAGTGGGGAACGAGGATGACGGATGAAGCGGATGATGATGACGATGAAGGTACGTGAGCATCAAGCGGTGAGAAGAGGGAGGTGGATGTGTAATTGGCACAACGACGGCCTATCGGGTGGCGACACGGCGGGCACTCAAGAAGGCCCCCGACACACCACGAGCAACGGGTAGCTCGAAGGGACCCGAGGACTCCCCACATAATTGCCATGTGACCCCTCAGCAAGCCCGCAAGAAATTCTCGCCATCGCTCGGACGTCCATTTCCCGTGCATTTTTTCGGTTTCGTATGTGTTTTTTCGCCAAATGATCACGGATGCTCCTCGATGGTCCTCGCCGAAAGACACATGCACACGTCCGAGCGATGCCAAAGGTTCCCAGGGGCTGACAGGAGGCTCTCAGGGCCCGCCCGCGCACCGCGAGCCCGAGCTCGCTCGCGCCGCCCGCGCGAGCCCCCCTCGCCCATTCTACCTACAGCCCCTCTCCTGCCATCGCTCGGACGTCCATTCCCTGTGCATTTTTCGGTTTTGTGCGTGTTTTTGTTTGCTCGATGATCCAGGATGCTCCTCCAGGGTCCTCGCCGAGAAACAATTGCACACGTCCAAGCGATGCCAGGCTCTCCACTCATTTAGCTTGCGCTCCCTTCCTGAAGCTTCCGTCCGCAAGCGCTTCCGAGCGAATGCCGTCCCCGTACTGCTGCACTGCGCTTCGCGGCTCTCGCAAGGACTTCGCGAAGAGTACAGCGGAGGCCCGACCACAAGAAAGCTTCCACAAAAAGCCCAACCCTGAGGCCCCAGGACGTCCATCGATTTTTGGTGTGGGAGCGTCACGCCTTCCACTGCCAAACCATCGACACCCAACAAACCCAGGGCACCATGGAAGCAAGCAGGGTGTTTCCTGGCATGGGCCCCCACTGTATGTAGGGACACGAGCTCTATACACCGACGCTTTTTTTGACCCTGCGCTGAAATTCGCATAGGAACGCGGATCCTGGTGTATACGGGATCCTGGTGTATACATTTTCGTTGCTTCCCTGGGAAAACGGGGGGGAAGTATACAGCACACCACCCCGACGTCGTCCCCGACCCTCAAAAAAGTCCTGGGATCGAAAAACCGCTCGCCACTGGTAGTGTATATGCTCCAGTTCCCGAGTACCCATCGGTCGGAAGAAGTAGGCAGAACCATGAAGTAGGAAGGCGTTGGAAGCAGATTGGGTTTCTGCCAGCCTCCTGCAGAGGAGGGAAGAGGGAAAACCACTCAACTCTTGAAGTAAGAAGGCGGCTTGAGTAGACGGGACTCCACACACGCACACCCACCTCCAACCACCGCGGGGTGCGGTGCCCCACCCCTGAGGGAGGCCCCGAAAGAGGCTCCCGAGAGGCCTCCCGGGCCGCCCAGCCATTGGCGCTTCGCGCCCCGTGACTGCCTCCGCGCCCTCGCGCCGCCACCCTGGCGACGGGCACTGCCCAGGCCACCGAGGCCTCGCGCCCCGCGCCCCGCGCTCCGCTTCGCGCCCTCGCGCCCTCGTGCCGCCCCCCTCCGGCCATCGCTCGGACGTCCATTCCCTGTGTTTTTTCCGGTTTCGCGCGTGGTCTTTTCGCAGGACGCTCCAGGATGCTCCTGAATAATCCCCGCCGAGAAACAGTGCACATGTCCGAGCGATACCAAGCCCTTGGAGAAGGGCGCCGCTCGGGCCCAGACCGCGACGGATGCGCGAAGATAGACGCTCGTCGGGACCCCACGCGTGACCTGGGGCACCCGTGTGACCTCCGCCGCAAGGATGCTGGCTTCGCGCCCCTCTTGAACCGGGTCTCCCGCCTCCGCTTCCCTCCCGCCCCATACTCCCGCGGTGAGGACGCGCATGCGAGAGCTAGACTGAGGTCGGGCGTGTCCCCCTACAGGGGGATTTTGGACGAAAACTGAAAATTAGTCAAACATACGCCCCAAATATTCAAAAGTAATAAAAACAGCCTCCAGACTATCTTTTTGGCAATTTCTGAATACTCCTCCTGTAGAGGGACGTGCCCGGCTTAAAGCTAGAGGCGAACGAAGCAGAAGGCGCGCGATCGGCTGGGAGCGCGTCGACCCGTGGCAGTCCGCTCAGAGTCGGTTCCAAGATCCCACGGACGCCCTTCCAGGGCTCCCGAGGCCCACCCCGGGCACCCTTTCGCCCCGCGTCGATCTCGGAGGGCCTGCAGGGCCCGAAGCACGCCCTCTGGATGCCGAGCACGCAGAGCAACCTGCACGACTCTCGCTCGACGACGATGGGCGCTCGAGCATGCGGATGACCTTTTGCCGCGCCAGAGGCGGAGGGTGGGGGTGCAGGCTGCGCCCCCGCGTCCGCGCAGGGCGCCCCGAGGCTCGCCGTGACGCGAGCAAGCTGCCGACGTGGCACCACTGCGCATGCAGAGGGGGGGAAGGGAGGGCAGCGGCGCTACGCCCTGCAGAATAGTGGCAGTCGCTTCGCGTTGAACTGGGCACTCCACCTGGACGCTGAGGCGGCCGTCAACGCCGGGCACCACAGCGTTTGACCCAGCAAGTCAGGATGAGGAGGCTGTACGGCAGTATGACTACATGGGGCTGGGCCCCCTCTCCTCAAAGATAGCAGCGCCTACCTCTCGTCAGGCTCTTCGGGGCACTCCCAGCCCCCCTCATCCTCAAGCAACTTAGCCAGCTCACGGACCGCTGAAGGGAGACAGGATGATGATAATGATGATGATGATGATGATGATGATGATGATGATGATGATGATGATGATGATGATGATGATGAGGATGAGGAGGAGGAGGAGGATGAGGAGGGGCAACCAGCGCGCGCGGGGCAGGCCTTCGTTTAGAAATCAATGCAACGCTTCCTCTCTCCGCCCTGCGAACGGCCAGCCGCGACGCGGTGCCCTGGGCAACCTGACTTCGCGCATCGCGCCCCGCGGTGAGCGACGCTCGACTCTCTTCGCGCCCTCGTGCCCCCACGCCGCACGCCTTGGAGAAGTGAAGCCGCTCTGTCCCAGACCGCGACGCGCGAAGCACGACTGCTTACGCGCCCCCCCGCGGGTGACCTATAGGCTTTCGGTCCATGCAGATCTCTTGGACCAGCGCTGATGCATCCCTCGCCAATGCGCTGAGCGCGCCAGGGGCGGAGCTGGAAGCGCCGCCACGGCAATCCTGCGCCGATCCAAGAAATTTGCTTCTTCAAATGATGAAGAGGACGTATGAGAAGCGGGAGGATGCCGTGCAGAAGGAAACGCCGCAGCAGTTGCCAGAGGTTGGAGGGACCCCCCGCCCGCAAGACAAATGCCCATCCCCGCAACAGCTCGACAGGGAGGGATGGGGGTTGAGGGGGAGAGAGGCACTGAGGCAGGGATGGCGAGGAAGATGCGAGAACGACACGGAGGAGAGGGGTCCCCGGGGGAGACAGGTCCTGGACCTCGGGGGCATCCCCCAGGAGCCGTTTCTGCTCCTCCCGAGCAGTTTTGCTGACGGCCTCGGGGCCTGGGCGCGCCGCCCAGCGCTCGAGACCTGCCCCCCCCCCCCCCCCGAGCCTCTCCCCGAGGTCCAGGCCATTCCCTCCGAGGCCAGTCTTTCAGCCCGAGCGGTTCTCTGACGGCCCTGGTGCCCGGCGAGGGCCTCCCCGACACCGAGGGCGGCCGAGCCTTCCGTCGTGCTTCCTTCCCCAGCGCGAGCGAGTTTGTTTGTTGTTGCTGCTGCTGTGGTTGTGGTTGCGGTTGTGGTTGTGGTTGTGGTTGTGGTTGTGGTGGTTGTGGTGGTGGTGGTGGTGGTTGTGGTTGTGGTTGTTGTTGTTGTTGTCGTCGTTGTTGTTGTTGTTGTTGTTGTTGTTGTTGTTGTTGTTGTTGTTGTTATTGTTGTTGTGTTGTTGTTGTTGTTGTTGTTGTTGTGGTTGTTGTTTGTTATTCGTATTCTTGTTCTTATTATTATTGTGGTTGTTGTCGTTGCTTTGCTTAAGCGCTGCTATCGGACAAACAACAACACATAAGGAACACTTCTAGCAGAACCCATCTCAGGAGGAACAACAAGCAAGGAACACCTCCAGCCCTCAGGGCCTCATGGCCCGTCTCCTTCACAGCGCGCAGGATAGGGACAAGGACGCGGAGCAACATGAGAGCAACCACGGCAGCTGCCAGAGCCGGGGGGAACAGGAGGAGAGGGAGGAGGAGGAGGAGCAGCAAAAGCCCGTGGGCGACCGAAAGTGCAAGGTGGGGTACGCCCAACCAGATGATCACAGGGGCGTGCATCGGGGCGGAGACTGTGCCGCAGACATCCAGTTCCTCCCTCCTCCTCGTTCATCTCCCTCCTGCCCCCTCCTGCTCCCTCGTCCCACCCATCTCTCCACTCGCTCCTCCTCCTTCCCCCTCCTCCCTCATACTCCTCCCTCCTCCTCCCTCCTCTCGCTTCTCCTCCTTCTTCTTCTCCTCCGCCTCCTCCTCCTCCTCGTTTTCCCTCCTTCTTCTCTTTCTCCCTCCCTCCTCTCTCCTGCTCCCTCCTTTCCTTCCTCCTCCTCCTCCTGCACCGTCCTCCTCCTCCTCCTCCTCCCTCGTCCTCGTCCTCCTTCTCCTCCTCCTCCTCCTCCTCCTCCTCCGCCTCCTCCCTCGCCGATGCCCGCAACGCCGCAGGTGGGCGGGCGGAGACCCGTCGCCGTCGGTGCCGAGACCGCGAACGCAAGCAGCGGCAAGAGCACCAGAGCATCAGGAGGCAAATCGAGATGACCGAGGGGACAAGTCAGGCGGCGGGCCAGGGGGGGAAGTGAGAAGGGGCGGGCCTTCTCAGAAGGCTCGGGAGTTCCCCAGCCTCCTGAGAAGTTTCCTAAGCCTTCCCCGAAGACACAGAAACTTTCTCAGAAGGCGCGAGGGCTTCTGAGAAGCCCCGCCGCCTTCTGAGAAGGCCTTCTCCTTCTCACTTCCCCCCTCGCTCGCCACCGACAAGTGACAAGAGGGGGGCATCTCGCCAATGCCCGCAGGGGCTGGTAACAGAGGTCTCCCATATGGGGTTCGAGTAGCTGGGGTCGGAGGATCGCGCCGCGTCGCCGATGCATCTGCGACGTCGGCATGGAGAACACTGGGCTCCGTATAGAGCCGTATCGGCGATGCGTCGGCGATGCGGCGCGAGCCTCCGACCCCATCGGCTCGGACCCAGTCTGGGAGGCCTGGAGGCAGGCTCCGGGGCGGAGACTGTGCCGCCACGCTGGCCCTGCGGCGCAGAGCAGTGAGAAACAACAGTGAAACTCGGAGGGCGAACCTCGACCTCCGCCTTCGGTGGCAACTCATGGGAACCTCCCATGCCATCTTGCTGTCTCTTGCGACTCTTAAATCTTGGGGGGGGGGTCTGACTCTTTGCCCGACACCAGGGTGCCCTGGCAATCTGGGCGAGGCAATTTGAAGGCGGACGTCCAATCCGTTTTGGCGGCGCGCTTGATTGGGCAAGCAACTTACCGCGAGGTCATGAGCTGCTTGTGCGGCGCTTCCCAAATCGCAATGCTCCAGATTGTTGTTGTGCTGCTCTGGCGAGGCTCTCGGCTGGGAACCTGACATACGTAAGATGCGCGACCGTCCCAGACCCTCGACGCTAATCGACGCCAAGGTGCTTACAGCTTGCGAATCGACGCTAATCCACGCCAAATCGGCGCTGCCTCGTCGATGACCAGACGCTTGCGCACCGCAATGCTCTCTAAAGACCACATGCCGAGGACGCACAAAACTCCCATGAATTGCTGCCGAGCCCGCCTCTGCAGCCTGACAAACAACACCGGACAAGCACACACGGCTGGACTCGCATGCGGAGCATGCGGAGGAGTGCCCGGCTGCACGAACAGCCTGGCGCTGGACAGACGCAAAACAACATGGGTACAGTCGGGCTGCTGAAATAAGGAACGCTAAATAAGGAACGAAGCCCCTCTGTGGCTTCAAAAAAGCCTGGGTGCACGAGAAGGGCTAGAGGAACAATCACTGAAAGACGTAAAGAATATCGAACCCCTTCCGAATCCAGTCTTGGCTGTATCCGGCACTCGCTCGTGATAGCCATGTCGCGTGTATCCAGCTTGCTTGCAGGTCATGGAGCTCTGTGAATCGCGCAGCGCACCACGTTTCGATGATACTCGCGCTCTCAGCTCGACCCCCCTGGCTTGGGAGATCTCTCTGGCCAAAACCGCGAAGCGCATAAACATCACGCCCCGATGGGCGACATTTATACATCCGATCTTGAATTTCTCAATACGGGGTCCCAAGAGGTCTGGACCTTTTCCCCAGGGCCGGCTCTTCATCCTAACTCGTTTTTGACAATGCTGAGGCCCAGCGAGGGCTCCCACAGGCCTGAATCTAAGAAAAACTGTCGCATTCAATTTCTTCGGACGTTTGAGGTCTGGGTAAGCTACCACACCGCGCAACGTCATGCTAGCCGCCAACCTTCCTTCATCCTCTCCATCTGCCAGCCAGTCTGGCATGGATTGCTTGGTAGCGGGGCTGCCCACCAACGAGGATCAATCTATGCGCTCTGAGAATGCAATCGCTTGTGGCTTGCTCGCCAGAGCTCAACTTTTCTTGCCTTCGCCCTGGTGCGCCGCTCTGTTCTGAAGGCCCCTCCACGCGCCCCCTGTGGGCGGGCTCTCCGTGGGGATCCCCACCACCTGGCCGACGACAGATGGCACGACCTGTGCGTTGCCAAGATGCCCGGTGCTATGCAGGGCACCCGCACAGGGCTGGCCGTTGATCACCTGGCCCTGCTGCAAACCAAAACCTGAGGTCGTATCTGAGACTTCGACGCTGCCCTGCGTGCCCTGGAAGCTAGAGACGTAGGAAGCCCGCACAACTACTCGCCCGTACGCGACGTCGATGATTCCACTTGCCTCGATGTGGACATTTTGCCTCGTCTCGCACCACGCGATATTGCCATCGGTCTCACCGTTAAGGATGTAGATCTTGCCTTGTACCACGGCCGTACCGTCGTCGTCCGTCGACGAGCCGGAGAACGTACCGCCCGGCGTGATCCGCCACTGTGCTATCTGCACGTTGAAGCTTGGAAAAATGCCAAGGGCTGTCTAGTAGGGTTTCTGTATCCTAATAAGGGACCCCCCTCCTCCTACTCGGATTGCCTGCATGCACCGCCCCCCCTCCTGAAGCCGCGATCCCTTGCAGAAAACAATGGGTTCGTGTTCCCGAGGCCACGATCCCTGGTTAAAAAACCGTGGATTCGCGTCCTGAGCTTCAAGACGGCCCATGCAAGCAACCAGGGACACTAAGATGGCCGAAGATGCCTCGAAGACGGCCCAAGATGGCCCCAAGGAGGCCCAATACGGCCTCAAGGCAGCCCAAGACTTCTTGAAGAGGGCCACAACAGGACCTTTAACAGACAGGGTCCGAAGAAGACGTAATCATTCATGTTCATGTGGTTTTTGATTCATTTTCGCATTCTCGCCTTTTCGGGCCCCCGTCAGCTCAATACAGCCCAAGAAGCCTCCACGACGACCCCAAGATGGCCCAAGAGATTCCACGACGGCCCAAGAGGCATCCAAATCGGCCCCAAGACAGCCCAAGATGGCCTCACGTGGGACCCAAGATGGCCTTGAAAGGCCTCTCGACGCCCCAAACGGCCCCACGACTGCCCCCAGGCACCCGCTACACGGCCAAGTGGGCCGCAAGACGGCCCAAGGGGGGCCCAAGATGGCGTAAGAGAGCCCCAAGACGGCCCAAGAGGGCCCCAAGGGACCCCGAAGACTGCCTCACAGGAGGCCAAGACAACCCCAAGGTGGCCCGAACGAGTTCCATGAGAGCTCCTCGAGTAGTGAAGAAGAGAAGTGACACATGTGCCGGCCTTCCTCTTCCTCCTCTCTTGCTCCTCCTCCTTGTCTTACACGTCATCATCGTCACCACCACCATCATCCTCATCCTCATCCTCACCGCCAGCACCAACATCATCAACAGCAACATCATTATCAACAACATCATCATCTTCATCCTCCTCCTCCTCCTCCTCATGATCACCATCATCCTCATCATGGCTCTCCCACCCTCGAACGATCGCCACCTCGAATGCTGGGCTGGCGCGGAGGCGGGACCTGCCGCAGGCAACTGGATATCTAGCGTATACGAGGTGGGCTTCTCATCGCGATTCTCGCAATACTTGCCACTGAGGAATAGCCGGCCAAGGCGAGGCCCGTTGAAGGCTGGCATCGTCTCCCGACTCGCCTGTTTGCGTTCCAGCTGGGATGCCGCTCCTCCTAACCCAGAGTTCAGCTGACGCTGGATCCCCTGACTGTTCTTGAAACACGCGACACAGCAACACATGCCGACTATGATTCCAACAACAACAAGCAACCATGTGAAGTCGCCGTCCTCCTCTTCGGTACACTCCGAGAACGCCTCTCCCAGGAAATCCGTGCAATCGTACCCATCAGTCGCGGTGATGCCTTCAACACAAGCTGTGCTTTCGCATGCGATGCACGGGAAGCAGTAGTCCTCGGTGTAGTTAGTGTAATTAGTGTAATTGCCCCCGATCAGGTTCATGCAAGCCGCTTCGACCTCTGCCTCGGATTTCATCGTGCACTGCACCCCGTCTCTGCCGTCCTCCTGATTGTACGTGCCGTAGCGGCGCCGGCTCCCGCCGCTCATGAGGATGAAACTCATGTAGGCGGCGACGCCCATGGTAGCCCTGCTGCGCGTCGTGACGCCCCCCCCGCCGAAAATACCACCGCTGGATCTGCCACCACTGGAGCCGCTGCTGCTCCCCTTGTTGTGCACCCGGACGCCCTGTGCGTAAAACCAGTGGTGCCGGTCAAGCCGCAATGTGATCACTTTGTCCGGCACCAAACCCTTCCAAACGCCTCGGACCTCAGCTGCGACCGTGCCGTTGAGGTGGTGGTGCAGCAATTCCCTCGTCTGCATCTGCGCAGCGGAGAGGGCGTATCGTTCCTTCGTGTGGTCTGGCCGCATGGAGACGAGGCCCCCGTGCCGCACGCTGTAGAGAGGGTGGTCCGGCGTGACCACGAGCGACTCAGACTCGTCGCTCTGCGAAACCGCCTCCAGAAGCCTTGCCTGGGCAACCCCGGTGGGACCAAGGCTGACCTCCATCAGCTCCCCGGCAGGCCAGGCCTCCAGGCCCAGCACCTCAGCGGTCGAGGTCACGCCGCGCTCGCTGTCCCAGGAAACTACCCTGTCGCCCTCGCGCACCTGCGCGATGGGCCTCTGCGTGCCGTCCCCCATCACGACGGGCGTCCAAGGAGCGAAGCAGCCCTTGTTGTGCACGCGCACACCCTCGGCGTAGAACCAGTGGTGCGGCCCGAGGCAGAGGGTCATGACCTCGACCTCGCCGCCCTCCGCGAGCGCGAGCCCCAGGCGGCGGGGCTGCAGCCGCCGCACGCTGGCGGCGGCAACCGCCTCCTCTGGGGGAGATCACGAGGTACTGATACCGCTCGGGCGTTGCGTAGTGGGGGGCGATATGTCGGGGGGGGGGGTGAAGAAAGGTGCACCTTTCTTCACCCCCTGTTCATTGCCCCCCCATTCAATTATGCAACGCCCGAACCGCTGCTCCCAAAACCTCTCCTGGGGTGTGCTCCGACCAGAGCCCGGAGGCGAATCCACCCGTGGCCACGAAGGCCTGCCAAGGGAGGCCCAAAACAAGCTGGAGGCAAATGAAGGGCCGCGGTACCGGCTCAAGCATGTCGGCCCGGGTGGCTGCCTTGGGAGCAAGCGGCAAAGAGCGCTAGCGGCAACAGGCGTAGAAGAAGACAAACTTGCATAAGCATGGCGAAGGGGGCCTTTTGGAGGGCCGAAGAGGAAACAACATTGCGTGTGTGCATGCATGCATGCATGCATGCATCTATACGTGTAGGTATGTACATATGTATGTATGCATGCATGCATGCATGCATATGTGTATGTAAGCATGTAGTTATGCATGCATGCATGCATACATGTTTTTTTTATGCATGTCTGAATGTACATATATGGCTAGACATACACACATATATACGAATGTATGTATGTCTGTATGTCTGTATGTATGTGTACATATATACGAATGAATATATATATATATATATATATATATATGCACATATAGGTGCATACATACACATATATACACATATGCACACAGGTATGTGCAGAGATGATGATCACGCCCGATGGCTTCCTCTCGAGCCATATGAGCTTTGGCGGGAACGCCCCGCTCCTCACAGTCCAGCCCTGCACGGGCCTTGCACAGGGGGCCTCTTCGGGCCCAATTCTCGCTCTAGGGCCTCCTCGGGCCCGCCGCTCGCGCCAGGGCCTCTTCGGGCCCTGGCCTACACTCTGGACGCCCCGGGAGGGGCCGTACGCTCACTGACGCCTGCACGCCCCCACGGCGCTTCGCCGAGGCACATCACCTCGTTCACCTTGCCATAGGCCGCAAGCTCGTACTCACCCGTGGCTCGCCTCGGGCAGCACCATGAGCCTCGGCGTCGCGTACTTCCACTTGTATGTGCACGGCGATTGACTCGCCTTCTCCGCTGTCATCGGCTTGTCCGTGAGCCTTACCTTGTTGATCAGCTCCTTGCTCCGAATCGGGGTATCCGTATGCTTGACCAGCTTCGGCTTCATGGAGCTCCTCATCGTCGTCCACTTCTCGCAGCTCCAGCACCCAAGCAGTGCACCTGCCACGAAGGTCATCATCAGCACGCTCAGGATGATCAGTGTCATATGGTCATCGATCCAGTCATGCAGCTTTGTCGCCCCCCAGGGGGCAACTGCACGCTGGTCGAGCTCTCGCACTGCACATTCGCTCGAAGCCGTCGCACCACCGATCACTCCTTGCGCGAGTAGCGTCGCCAGCAGCCCCTGCTTAGCCCAGGCGCTCGTTGCCACCGAGCATGCCTCCAGTTCCTTGTGCTTGTCCATCTCGCTGCAGTCGATGATGCCGGCGGGCTCCCGCAAATGCTCGAACCGCTCTGTGGTGTGCGCTTTGGTTCCCAGGTCGGCCACGTTCTTGGTTCCGCTCTCCTTCTTGATGATCAGTCCGTGCACCTTCCGCTCCTGCTGGGTCCACAGCGCCCGAACGTCCAGGTGCTTCGCCTTGCCGACGCCCTCGCGGTTGATCATCGCCTTCGCGGCGCTGCTGTCGATCCCGAGCTCCCAGGTCACCTTGTAGCCCAACCACTCCAGCATGTTCTTCACCAGCTTGCCGTCCATCACCACCGAGGTCGCGCCGTAGAACTCCGCCTCGCCTGAGGATGTACTCTGAACTCCTTGCCTCCTCGCAAACGCTGCGAAGTGCACCCCGTCCAGCTTTGTGATCCCACAGGTCATCGCACGCCTCGTCTCCTTGCACGTCGCAAAGTCCGTGTCCGTGAACAACTGCAGCCTCACCTCTCCAGGCTTGCTCCCAGTTGGCTTCTCCGAGAGCACTCCGAACGTCTTGGTCCCCTTCAGGTACCGCACCAGCTTCACCAAGCGCTTTCTGTCAAACTCCGTCGGCTGACTCAGGTTCCTGGTCAGTAGCTGCACGTCCCGCTGGATGTCCGCTCTGTCGGGCGAGATGTAGAGCGCGATCCCAACTCCTGTGCGAAACTTCGCCCTCTCGATCTAGTCCAAGTCGGGGCTCCAGCTCGGGTCCTCCTCAGTCAAGCTTGGCACCCTCGCTGGCTTGGCCTTCTCCATGCCCATCGCGTAGATCAGGTCGTCGATGTGTTTCGCGTTCGGCCTCAGCATGATGTTGCCGTTCATGAGCCTCAGCCTGTCGCGCTTCAAGTGTGAGTAGCGCCCCTGCCTGATTGCGTCCGTCGCCTTCAGGTCGAACACCTCCCGCAGCCGTTTGATGACCCCGTCCAGGTTGCCGATTGGAACCTCTCCGTGGAAGTCGTCCATGTGCACCTCGATCAGGATCTCCTTCTCCCTGTGGTAGTAAAGCTGCGGCTGGCACTCGCCCCTGTCGAAGCCCTCTCCCTTCGGAGTCTTCGCCGCCTTGTCTACCCAGCCAGCGCCTGCCACACGCTGCCCAGGTAGCATCTTGTCCAGCGCCCAAGCAATGTCGGTCGGCTTGCCCATCTCCGCCAAGATCGCCAAATACTCAGCAAGTGGCTCCACGCAAACCTTCTCCGTCTGGTCCGCTTGGTAGTACGCCTTCACGCAGTCTGCGATGAAGGTCCCGTGATTCTCCTCCTTGATGCTGACGAAGTCCACCAGCCTGCTCGTCCGTGCTGACGAACTCGCTGCGAACACGTCGTCGCGCTGCTCCATCCACTTGAACTCCTGCGCCACATACCGCCACTTGCAGACACCTCCTCGCATCTGCGGCTCCCAGCGCGCCCTGATCTTCTTGAACTCGCCGCTCTCGCTCCTCGGGATGTCCCTGTGCACGCCGTAGTGCGCCAGCACCTCTAGTGCTTCGCGCTTGCCCTTGAGTTCCACCGCGGGCTCCAGTCCGCTGACCGTCACGTAGCAGTCTGTGCCCATCCTGTCCAGGATGCTGTAGTCGATAGGGTCGTCGAGCGAGACCGCGTTCACGTGCTTCGCGCGCTTGCCTGGTGCGCCGAAGTCCTCAGCGTCGGCAGGTCTGATCAGCCCTCGGGGCGTCATCGGCACGTCCGCATCCGTCGTGCTCTTCTCCTCTGGCCTTGCCGCCGCTGCCGCTCCAACTCCAGGTCCCGCAGGTGCTAACGATGGCTCCGCGCTCGCTGCTGCAGCCAGCCGCGCCCCCTGCTCGGGCGCCCCCTGGGGTGGCGTCGCCTCTCGTGCTGCCTCCTGCGCCTCAGTCTTCGCCTTCTGCTCCGCCGCCGTCAGAACGATCGTGGGCATCGGCCTCTGCATCCTGGGCAGTAGCTCGCACGGCTTGGCGCTCCTCGCGTCCCAGGGTAGGGCCTTCACTGCCTTCATCAGCTTGTCGTCTGCTCGCAACGCTGGTCCAGCCGCCTGCAGGTTCTCGCGCGGTGCCAGCCCGCTGGCGTCAAGAACAGGTGGTCGTCGCTCTCTTTGTGCTTCCCGATCCAGATGCCCTTCACGAAACTAGACTCGCCCTTGTGCTTCAGCGACGTGGTCGTGATCTGCCTCGTGTGGGAGATCGGAGTCTTGAAGAGAGCCGTCTCGCCAAAGGGGGGAGTCTCTCCGTTGTAGGTCACTCCGTAGGCTGCCTGATGGGATGTCCTCCTATCGGCACGTGGTCTGTACGTAGAGGTAGCCCAGCTAACGTATCGCGTAAGCCAGCACCAAATCGGTGCGTCCGCTGTGATCTTCATGCCGTAGCGCTTCTCCAAGTCGAGCTTGTACGTCCTCACCTTCGCCTGAAACCATCTGATCGGAGCCTCGATCGCGCCCGTGCTCTGGCTGTCCTTCAGGTTCCCCGCTTCTCCTCCAGCTTGATGCCCTTGTTCAGCTTCTTCCGCACCTCCTCCACCAAATTCACGATCGTGGGCTCGACATCCGTCTTGATGTCCGCCGTCGTGAGATGCATGCCCTCGATGAAGCTGCTCACGCTGGCTATTGCGTAGTCCGTGACCGCCTTGGTGGGCATCGAAACTGCGTTGAACATCAGCGTGTCCCTGTCCACCATCACGAGCGTCGTCGCGAAGATGTCCGCCGCTGGCGGCTCCAACTCTCCGATCTCCGTCCAGTCGCCGTTGGTCTTCAGGTAGCAGAAGTCCAAGGTGATCTGCGCCTTCCCAGTGTCCTTCTGGTCAAATGTGAGGGTCTTATGTGGCTTGGTCGTCTCGTTCCCTCGCACGCAGGCTTCGCACCACGGCGCCCTCGTGAGGTGAAGCAGTTCATGAGCTGCTCGTTCTGCATCCGTGGGCGCTGCTGGCCCTGCTACTTCTCGTGGTGCTATCGCAGGTCCTCCCTGAACGGACTCCTCGTGCCTGCGCTCCAGCTCCTTCATCTTCATGTGGTGTGCCGTGAGCCTCCGCTCCGCGTCGCTGAGCCTAGCCCACAGCTCGTCCTTCCTGCCGTAGATAGGTTGGCCCATCTCCTTGAGCCTCGCCCGCATGTCCTCCACGCGGCTCGAAGGGTGCAGGACGATCTCCTGCCCCTCGCGTAGTAGTACAGGATGTCGAGCCAGTCGCTCTCCTCCTCCGCCCTCAGCTGGTCCATCTCGCTCTGGATCCGCTGCCGCAGCTGCAGGTGCAGCCGGCGCCGCTGCCGCCGCACCGCTGCCCGCAGCCCCAGGCGTCGGCACGAACGCCTCCTCCTGCTGCTCATTCGCGTTCACACTGGCCGCAAACTCCTTCGCCTCCGTCGCTGTCCTGAAGGTCTTCGCGTTGAAGCCCAACGTGTTGTTCTTCCTGGTGAGCGGGATGCCCTTGCTGAGGTCACCGCCAGGGTACATGCACATGCCCGTCTTCGCGCTCAGCCAGAACTCGGCACCCTTGTCCATCACCTCCAGCAGCGAGAGGATCGGCTTCGATACCGTGTCACCCAGCCTGAGGTCCGCCTTCAGCAGCCTCGGCTGCTCGCAGTCGTCGGCAACCGCCATCGGCACCGTCGCAATGGAGTCCATCTTGATCTCCTTCCGCTGCGCATCCAGTAGCCTCGGTCCGCGATCCTCGCCTCTTCTGCAGCCTTCTCCGAAGCAAACCGGCCCCACGTGGCAGTCGCTCGCCGTGTCCAGCGTGATGAAGGTCGTCTCCTCGAGCTCCATGCCGCAGCACTCCGTCTCGGGATCCTCCGCCTTCATCGCCATGCAGTAGAGCTGGTCGTCGTCGCAGATCTCGCACTCGTACTCCGCGTACTCTATCTTGGCCACCGTCTTCGGGTCCGTGCCCTCCTGCTCGATAGCCGCATTACCCTTGGCCTTTTCATCGGCGATCCGCTTCTTGCAGTCCGCCTTCTTGTGGCCTGTCTTGTGGCAATAGTCGCACTTGCCCGTGAACGTGTAGCCATCCTTGCCTTTGCCCTTGGCGTCCTTTCCGCTCTTGGATCCCGCTCCTGCTCCTCGACCTTTTCCGTCGCCCTTCTGCTTGCCCTTGTCACGCCAGTAGCAGTCGCGGGCCGTGTGGCTCAGCTTGTGGCAGATCTGGCACCTGTCCTTGCCGTCCTTGCCCTTGCCCTTGGAGATCGCGTCGACGTCCATGTCATTGCTCCCCTTGCTCGCTGTCGGCGGCTTCGCGACCACCCCACTCTGGCCGATCACCGCCTCGAAGATGCAGTTCCTCATCTGCGTGATGTCGCTGCGCACCTCGCGCTGCGCCGAGCGTAGCATGACCTTCACCTCCTCGGGCGCGTGGGCCATGATCGTGCTCGTCTTCATGTTTTGCGTGGCCTGCTCTCCAGTCGCGCGCTCGTACCTCGAGATCAGCTCGTCCCAGGCGATGAGCACCTCCGTGAAGCGCTCCTTGCCTTCGCGATCCTTCCACCGCAGCGGCGTCAAGATCTGCTGGAGCATCTGGCCGTGCTCCTCTTTCAGCCTCGGACGGTACTCCTTGTGCAGCCTCCGCATCGCCTCGAAGCCATCGCCTCGCGGGCAGAGCTTGACGATGCTCTGCGCCGTGCCCTTCGTGGTGCTCGCCAGCAGGTGGTACAAGCTCCTGCCGACCTGCACTCCTTGCTCACCGAGGTCATCCGCAGTCAGCGGCTCCTCAGCCTCCCGCGACCTGTCCAGGCCTGCCGTCCAGCCCAGCAGACCGCAATAGGACTCGAACGGGAAGATCCAATCCTCGAAGTCCTCCCTCTTGCCCGAAAACGTCGGCACCTTGCCGACTCCACGTGAATCCAGCAGCTGCACCCCAGCTGCTCCAACGTCGGCCGCCATGGCGCGCTGGCGCCACTATCCTGAAGGGTAGGTTCAGGCAAACTCACACCCTGTCACCATGCAGAGATGATGATCACGCCCGATGGCTTTCTCTCGAGCCATTTGAGCTTTGGCGGGAACGCCCCGCTCCTCACAGTCCAGCCCTGCACGGGCCTTGCACAGGGGGCCTCTTAGGGCCCAATTCTCGCTCTAGGGCCTCCTCGGGCCCGCCGCTCGCGCCAGGGCCTCTTCGGGCCCTGGCCTACACTCTGGGCGCCTCGGGGGGGGCCGTGCGCTCACTGACGCCTGCAGTATGTATTTATGTATGTAGGCCATTCCATATACGTGTATAGATTTATGCGTATGGTTGTACATGCATGTATACATCAAAAGTAGAAGCACGCGCGCGCTTCGCGCGCTTACGTTCTAGTGTGGCAGCAGCAAGCGCAGTGCATGTTTTTCCCTTGAGCCATAAACATGAGTACGCGTCGGATCATGTCATGCAAACTTAGTGCAAAACCTGAGACACAAATAAAGCCCACCTGTTTCACAGGTCAGACTTTCTTGCAGGTTTTGCAGCCCCTGAGTGCCCGGCCGCTGTGGCCGGCACCCTGGCAGTGCGTCCCCAGGACTACTGCTCAAACCCCTGGGGAGAAAGGAAAAACGGGGAAAACATCCTGACGCGCACAGTCAGCGGAGTCACTGAAACGCAGCATTGGATGATGGGAAGGAGGGAGGAGAAGAGAAGGAAGAGGTACCACCACCACCACCACCAACCTCCTGGCACATGTCCCTGAACTCCTGCCACGTCACCAGCTGTTGGTCCTCTAGAGTCTTCCTGGAAACGGCCTGGGTCCTGCTCTTGAGTGCCGGGGTGGTGCGTCGGCGCTCCACTTCTTCTGACTCGTCCACTAACACTAATTTGCCACTGATCATAAGGTCAAACAATGCCGCATTGCCTTTCGTGATGTCGTCCTCTGTGAGGGCGTCGACCGGCATTCTGCCATGGGGGATCCAGCGGATTCTCCCCTTGGCCTCCTCTAGTGCAGAACAGATGATCGCCATGTCGATGGCGGTTCTCGTATCTCGCGCGCTGGCGTTGCCCTCTTTCATCATCGTGTCATAGATACTCTTGGCATCAACAACATGGACCTGGCGCTCGCGAGAGCCCAAACGGCAATCGCTGCGCAGAATCGTAGTGAACGGCCCTGAGCCCCGACGGTGATCCTGCACATTGACATCCTGGAAAACCACGTCTCGGTACAATAGCTGTAAATACTCGACTTCTGCTACAGCCGCACTGAGGGCCTGGGTTTCTCCAGCGAGAGTCGATAGAACTTTCCGTCGGAGCTTCGAGCTCCTCCATGCCAGCACTGATGCACGAACAGCTCGATTCCCTAATATGTCGGCATCCGCCGCGAGGACCATCCATGCTCCCTGGGTGGGGTCTTCGGGTAACCCCTTGTCGTCCTGAAGATTGTCCTGGGCGCCTACTCCACCTGCATCTGAGAACGAGACGAAAGCCATCTTTTCAGGATCGAACTTCCAGACCGTCAGCCCTCTGGAGGCCGTAGATCGAAGATGACGGACGAGCTTGTTGGCGAGAGACACGTCCCCCGAAGTCGGTGCTTTCAACCTGCTGGCGAGGATGGACGCGACGCCGGCAGCCTCGGACCTGGTCTCCCTCCCCACCCAGATGAACTTATAGACCAGCGACCTAAGAGTTTTGAGCTCCGAGTGCTCGAGAGGGGTACCCTTGCGAGCTAGGCGACCTCGGGCAACTGAGACGGGCTTGATTTCCTCGAGGATGTACTTTTCTTGGTCAAGCACGGCTCGACGGGGGCCTATGGCCACGCGTCTGCCAGCAAAGTCGACGGGCCCTTCATGACAGTTCCTGTACTTACCGAGCTTGAATCTGGACTCCAGGGTCTCTCTCAACCAACTCCTTGACGCAGAGTCGGCACTGGCAATGAAGAAATCGTCGACCTCCAGGAGTATCATATTCAGGATCTGGCCCCGGGACCCATTCCGGACCCACCAGCAAGGTTCGAGCAGGCTTTTGACGAACCCGTGTTGTTCCAGAAACTTGATCACGGTACGTCTCCAGGCAACAGGGGCATCATCTAGACCGTAAACGTTGACACGCAACAGTTTCAGCGATCCCCTCGGCAGCTCGATGCCCTCGCAGGGCTCGACGAATATGTCTCCTTGTGATCGTGTCATCGGGTCCGATTGGCAGAACGAATTTTTGACATCGGCAATGTCCGCCAGCATGCTCATGTTCATGAGCGCTTGTACGAAAAACATGATGCTTGTAGTCTGGGGAGTCGGAGCGTAGACCTGGAGATCCTGAGTCGGGGTCACGATGTCCGTGAACGCACCAGCGCGACTTGGCCGAGGGCTCTGATCCCGTACCTTCCACGGGTTTCCAACGCCGGACCATCCGGCTCGAGATGACTCGTTCGGGCTGAGACCTCCTCACAATATCGGCCTTGGAAGGGGTAATGACCTCCACGGCCCCAGTAGCCATCATGGCCTCCACTCTTTCTTGTCCGCAACTTGAAACTTCTGACGCTCATCGGGCGTGGGCTGCTTGAGGCTGACCTCGCCTCCTCGGCTGGCGGCGAAAGAACCGTCTCCCGGGGCGATCAGTCCAGTCCAGTCGTCGTTCTCACTGCTCGGGGCCTGGTTGACTGGAACCGCCCAGACACCTTCAGCGCTGCCACCGCCGGGGATGAGAAGGAAATCTTCACTCTCCCAGGCCGCTGCGGCCTGGCCCTCTGGCCGGTCGTGAGGCGATCGGCTCCTGCCTCGCGCGCGGCCTGTCTCGAAGTCGTTGACAATCTCCGAGACTGGCCTCCTGGAGGAGGAGGCCGGGAACGGGGCAGGAGCGGGAGGAGAAGCAGGAACGGAAGCAGGAAGAGGAGAGGGAAGACCCGGGGGAGTGGGAGGAGATGATGGCCCCGACGCTTCGTCTCCGAAACGAGCCCTCTTGAGCTCTGGAGGACTGCTCGCAGCTCTCGACCTCCGAATGCATGCTGGTGGCTGAGTCAGCCACGTCCTGGGAGCAGGGTGAATCAGCTCGGGAGGAGGAGGAGGAGAAGGAGGAGGAGGAGGAGGAGGAGTAGTGTTAGGCTCCGTCTCGTCTCCGACAGGGCCGGTCTCGGAGCCTGGATCGGTCACCTGTCTTGATCCTCCTGGTGATGGTCCTTCGGCGATGGAAGGAAGTCTAGTCCGCTCACTTCCGGCCTGAGCTTCCGCCGACCCCGCCTCGGAGGGGGCCCTCGGTCCCCGAGGCCCCCCCGGAGCCGAACCCCCCGAGGGAGGCAGGGGGCCGACCGCCGAGGGAGGAGGGCGCGGCACCGCGGCGTCCTCAGAGTCCTGGGTAGGCGGGGGGGCGGGCCCCGATGAGCTGGGAACCTGGGGGCCCGGGTCAGCGTCGGGCCGAGCGGGCTCATCCCAGGCATCGTCCGGAGGTGGGCCCTCTCTCTGCGCGTCCACAGCAGTGGCTCTCCTGGCGTGAACCTGGGCCAGGAGTTCTTGCCACTGGGGACTCTGAGCCAACTGCAGGCCGTGCCCTTCCTCGGGACTCGCAAGCCTGACCTGTTCAGTGGAGCACTTCCAAAGCCTGGCCCGGGCAGCCGCCCAGACGGTCCCTGTTTCACAAAGAACAACCACTCCTGGACCTGTCCAGCAGGCTCTTCTCCGACCGAGGGCGCCAGCCCTTGATGACGTCCTGCTCAGGTTCCTCCACGCGAACACCCACTGGCCTGGAGTAAATTCTTTGAACGCCGGACCCCAGGCCCTCGAAGCTCTGCTTATCTTGTCCCGAGCTGTGGCCTCCATGGCCAACCTGCGTGCCACTGCTCGGACTTCCTGGGCGCGCGCGAACTCGGCCCCGGCCGCGTCCTGTTCGGAGGCAGGGCAGGTCGCATCGTGCCATCCTGGGAGACCGCGGGCATCATCTGACAAGAGCTCGTGTGGCATGCGAGGGTTTCGCCCGAAGACTAGCTGTTGAGGGGAAAAAACCTCCTCTGTGCCAGAAACAATTCTTGTGAGCAACGAGCTCATGGGTCAGGTCGTCGAGTTCCTCGACGCTGCTGGGAAGGGGGACCCCGGCGTCGATCTCAGCCTTCAAACGTTCCTTGGCCCAGGCACCGTGGCGCTCGACCCTCCCGTTCTGCCGCGGGCTGTCGGCGTCGCAAACATGGTGGCAAACCCCCCGCTGTTCAAGACCCCGAACGAATCTTTCACCAAATTCGGCACCCCCATCGGATATCAGGAAATCCGGGGCCCCAAAGGGCCTGATCCGGTTCGCCGAGAAGGCCCGCCAGACTGTGGCCGCCCTGGCATCGATCAGACGGGCGCACACCTGCAGGTTAGGTCCGTGATCGACCACACTCATGAACGGGTGGGTCGTTCCCAAGAACTCCAAGTAAAACAGATCAATCCCCACGATGTGAATAAATCTGAAAGTTCTGGGCATGGCCACCTTTCGGTGGTTGCTCGATCGCTGCCTTTCTTCGCACTCGGAGCACCGAAACTTGGCGCGGGCCCATCCCACCAAATGTTTCTTGACTCCCCCGGCCCGCAACACGCGACAAAACTTCCGAGAGTCCGGGTGGCCCATATTCACGTGCAACTTAAATATGAGGCGCTTCTCTTCTTCGTTGGGATCTGGGTCGCTCGGTGCCCCGACTTTGCGCTGGTCAACTCGAGTTTCTGGCTCGTCGCCGCTGCTCTCGGAGTCCTCCGCCTCGGCTTCCGCTTCTCGGCCCTGGGGCTCGTCCTCGCCAGCTGCCGCCGGGAATGCCTCGGACAACTCAGCCCAGGTAGGTCTGGCTCGAGTCAAGGCTCCACTCCAGTGGTCGGTCACCGCGCGAGCCTTTCTTGACGAACTGGTGAGTGTACCTCGCGGCCCGGGAAGTCTTCCAACCACCTTCCAACGCGGCGTGATGGTGACCGCCCGTGCAGAGATGTCCCGAGAGCCCCCGAATGATACCCGGATGATTGGTCAGAATACCGGT